TCCCTGGACCTCACTTTGAGAATTGCTGGCACAGGGGGAAAGAGCAGGAAGAAAATACACTACATGATAAATTATTCGCTCTCAGTGCTGGGATTATAATTTATTTTTATTTGCTTCTTGTACTTTTCTGTTTAAAAAAAGTAAAATGTGGGGCGCGTGGGTGGCTCAGTCCCTTAAGTGTTCCATTTTGGCTCAGGTCATGGTCTCGCAGTTCCAGGGTTCAGGCCCCACGTAGGGCTTGGTGCTGACAGCTCAGAGCTTGGAGCCCGAGAGCCTGCTTTGAATTCTCTCTCTCTCTCTCTCTCTCTCTCTCTGCCCCTCCCCCACTCGCGCTCTCTAAAAAAAGTAAACATTAAAAAAAAAAAAGTAAAATTTAACGACCAAGGGTTGTTTTTGCAAACAAAAACCAAGACAGTACACCCGTCTCCATAACATTGTTGAAAGACCCAAACAGTAATAACATATTTGGCTGTAATAAAAAATTAAACTGAGCTCTAACCTGAAACTAAGGGTCCGATTTCCCGTGTCAATCCCAGGCGTGTAAGTGCAGGGTCTTGCCCTCTTAAATTCCACCGTCTAGTCTAGGGAGTGAATATAAATGCATACACAACTGTATTGCAAAGTAACAGAAAGCAGACATCCCGAGAGTCCCAAATGCAGCAGCTGCCTCCTACACAGATTTGCAAACTCCGGCGTGGAGCAGAACCACCCAACACAAGCATACACCACGGAACCGCGGACCTCAACCACGGAATACCTAAACCTCAACGAGGCAGTCCAGCAGGGCGCATGCGCCCTCCAAACGTTTGCGGGAGGTGGGGCTTAAGGGAGACTGACATTGGGCTCGGCCTTCCAACACTCTAGCCCCGCCTTCTTACCCTGCTTCCCTCTCTGAGTGGCTGCAAGATTACGGAAACTAATTTCCCATTTGCCGCCAGCGAAACCGACATCCGCTTTGGGCGTAGGGCAGCCGGAGCAGAGACCGCCATGGTGCGATTCAAGCACAGGTAAGCGGCGGCGGCTCGACAAATCCTGCCCTGTTAGGTCCTCGCGGCCCTGGCTCCACGCTCACTTCCCTGCTGCCCTCCGCAGGTACCTGCTCTGCGAAGTCGTGTCTGATGACCCCCGCTGCCGTCTGAGTCTGGAGGACCGAGTGCTGGGCGGCCTCGTACGAGACACAATCGCTCGCGTGCACGGGACTTTCGGCGCCGCCTCCTGCTCCATCGGCTTCGCGGGTGCGAGGGTGCTGGGGAACTAGGTGGACGGCGGGTTTGGGAGGGAACGGGGCGGAAAGGGAGAAGGAAGGGGTAGGAGTGACCGCAGGAGCTTCCAAGCTCGATACACAATCCTCACTGTACGATATCGTCCTCTTGAGGCCACTTGAAGCCTGAGCCGGAAGTCTGAACGAGTCCGAAGTTAGGCAGAAAGCTAAAAGCGGGGGCACCTGGGTGGCTCAGTTGGTTAAGTGTCGTCGGACTTCAGCTCAGGTCATGATCTGACAGTGAGTTCCAGCCCCAGGTAGAGCTCTTGTGCTGACAGCTCAGAGCCTGGAGCCCCTGCTTCGGATTCTGTGTCTCCCTCTCTCTGCCCCTACCCCTCTCACGCTCTCCCAAAAATAAGCAGTAAAAAAAAATTTTTTAAGGAAAAAAAAGCTAAAAGCAGAAGGCGATGGGACTTGGGGCAAGAATCTCCTTTGCCTATTTGACATAGTATTTTGGGGGATTGCGATTGAATTAAGCAGGATAATGAGTTAAATGGGGGAAGACGTGTATAGTTCCGAGAAAGCTATTTGTTACATTGACATCCTATGGTGCGAAGAATTGTCAGAATTACCTCTAAAAAGCCCTTAATAGTACAGGCAGGTAGAGTACAGAACTCATAATTGTGTGTATGTAAATGAGGAAGAGGATTCTTCCCACAGCACCAAGTTTTTTAAATTCGTTCCCTCCTTTACCCTGTGCTCAAAACTGAATACTGGAGAATCACATGCATGCACACAGGCACAATTCTCCTACATCAGGTCATTTGCAGTTGGCTGCTTCAAGACCTACAGAGCCCAGTTGCAATAGAACCACCTTTCAGCCAAGAGTTTTCTCTGAGGGAGGTGGATCTCTGCTAGCCCCAACCTCACTTATCATAGTGATTTAGAAGAGCATTTATAATTCTGAATTCATTCACCAGTTCCGAGTGGTGTGCAAAGCACTGGATGTGGTTTGTCCCCTTTCCATAAATGAAGGTCTGTTCTAACGCTCTTTTCCTTTAGGAATTTTTTACCCACTTGATAATACATCCCAAGTGCCACTGCCTGTCACCTAGTAGACTCTCGATTAGTCTTAAGATTTTTAAGTGAATCCAAAGTCTCCCAAAATGATTTTTTTCCCTGTAGTGCGATACCTCAATGCCTATACTGGAATAGTGCTACTTCGATGCCGGAAAGAATTCTACCAACTCGTGTGCTCAGCTCTTCCTTTCATCACATACTTGGAGAACAAAGGACACCGTTACCCGTGTTTTCTTAACACTTTGCACGTGGGAGGTAGGGGTGCATATGGTATGGTTGCTGATTTCTAATACTAACAGGTTCAGGGTTCAGTCTTGACAGCGGGTGGGTCTTCCTGCTATCCTGCCAAGAACAAGACGTTTTCACCTAGCTTGGAAAGACTTGAAGCAGACACCTTTCACAAGCTGTTGACCACAAAGCTCTTTCATGTGCCAGGTACAATCCGAACATGTCAGAAGTTCCTGATTCGTTACAACAGGAGACAGCTATTGATGTTATTGCAGAACTGCACTGATGAAGGTAAGCGACATTAGCCCAGTGCCCACTGAACAGTAACCAACCTGAGTAAGAGGTCACTCCCAAAGACCTCTTTCATCCCTGCTGTCTGCCTTTCCAGGAGAGCGGGAAGCTATCCAGAAGTCTGTCACAAGAAGCTGTTTACTAGAGGAGAGGTCAGATGAGGAGCAGCTTTCAGATAGTGGCAGTGAGGAGCCTTCTGAAGCAATGGAGTGAATTTCTGCAGGCTATGCTGTGCCCAAGATTCAGGGCCCACTTGTTGGAACAGGACATTTTGGGAAGGCAGCAGCATCTACTACGGCTTCCCAAACTGGATGACTGCTGACCAGAGGCCAGGTTATCAGCTTAAAATGGAGGACGTGTTCACTTAAACTGAAGTCACTTTTACCTACCAGTGCCTGGTTAAGTGGTTCTGCAGGTGAAGCCCCTGTGGTTACAGACATCTCTGTATCTAATTGCCTGGCCAGAGTAGGTTTAATAAATGTCCTTGGCTTCTGTAGCATTTAGCTTACTTAAGTTCAAGTTTGGCCAGGTCTCCTTCCCCCTCAACCCCTGGCCTCACTGGGAAGACTGGCTCCCCTATAGGATAGCAGATGCATAGCCTCCCACTTGAGCCCTGTGCCCCAATCCCTAGGATGAACCCTAAGTATTCCAAGTCACTCAGAGTAAGCGTATTGGTGAGATACAGCAAGTGAACTGGTACAAATTTATAGCTGGTCTCGTTCCTGACCCACAGGGCCTTAAAAATGCCAGATTCCTTACCAATAATAATCAGGTTAACAGGATGACACAGTTTTTGCACTTTTCTTGAGGGGGAACAAAACCTAGCCTTGCCTGACATCACTACAAAGCCAAGCAGCAGTTGCCAACTTCCAGTAGTTTTCTGCAATTCCTCCCTTCCCTACTGTCTTTCACCTGACAGGTACCTGAAAACCCGTGACCCTGCCACACTCACAGAAGCAGGAAGGTTTTGATCTACTACCTACTGACATTTCTAGGATGTTTTTTTGAATAAAACATGTTATTCGGAGTCCCTTACACATTTAACAGAAGGATTTGTAATTTTTGTTTCAACATGTCCCCTCATTTTCAGGGCTGAAACACCCTCATCCACCCAGGAGAGTTCCTATTCCAGAATTTCTGAACTTCTTCCTTTTAAGAATGACGGGTTAAAGCTAAGCCCAACTCAAGAACCCTTTGGGCCTGACACCAGGAGAGACATTGCTCCATGATAAGAGTGCTCAAACTTCTAGTGTTGTTACTTTAACCTATTTAAGGGGGAGCCTGGGTGGCTCAGTCAGTTAAACGTCCATCTGACTCTTGATTTTTTTCAAGTCATGTTCTCAGGGTTCGGGAGTTCGGGCCCCCACTGTCAGGGACTGTGCTGACAGTGCAGGGCCTGCTTGGGGGATTCTCTCTCTCTCTCCCCCCTCTCCCACACTCTCTCAGAATAAACTTTAAAAAAAAAAGTCTTAACCTATTTAAGAGGTATGTCTGTCTAACCTATAATGAACTTTAAAAAACCAGAAAGTTCGCATTGCTTGTGCAAGTGATTTATTGCAACTATTTGCCTTCACATTCTACTATACCTAGAGGTCACTTTATTAAGCAGCAAAATAATTCACATCACTCAAATTCAGCTGAAACCAAGGCATAGACCGCTTCAGACAAAAGGAGGCAGTGGGTACCCCCACCGCTTTCAAACCTGCCCTACTCTGCCGCTCCTACAACTGAGGCCACTGTCACTTTTAACAGGCTTGACCTAAAAGTTGGCAGGTTCCAGGCCTTCTTTAGTGACAATTACACCTTTCCTTGCCAAACAGAAGCCACATTCAAGAGGTGTAAAACCCTCCATCACATATGTAAGCAACCCAGGTCTGGCACCACAACTGACCATTTCTCAGAAGAAAAACTACAATTCAGGCTGGGTATCCTAAGTCTGTTTTATTCCCATCCTTCTGTTTCTTTAACAAGAGGAGAACTAAACAGGAAAGATTCAACTGTTTTTAAAAGACACACTGATAGGTGTGTTGAAGCCATGATGCCCTGACATGTCAGTAGAACAGTGCTAGAACACTCTGGTTTGGGCTGCTCTGTGGGATGTTGAAGGAACTCAAACTTATTTGGGTTGAGAAAAACTAATTACATGGGGCAAAAAGACTAACCTGGTAACAAACTAAAAATCTTGGCAGGAAGAGAGATCTCTTGTGTGTCAATACTTTATTTTGGTGTAAAGATGGGAAGCTGGAAAATACACTGTATTTAAAATTTTCTTGGTTCCCCCTCACACTGTGGAAACCCCCTCCCCCCAGAGCTAATCTGTTCAAACTCAAATACTTAAAAATTACAGCAGCAAAACAAAAGCACAGGAAAAAGAAAACCAGATGGAGAAGGTAGCCAGGGCCAGTAGTGTCACTTGGTGTGGACGACTGAGGTGCTGAACAGGAGCTTTTGTTTCTGTTTTTTTCTTTTCTTTCCTCCTTTCTCTTCTAAATGGAAACACAGAAAGAACTTAGCTTAGAATGCCATCCCCTTACCCCAGCCAGTTTCGTCCCCGAGAGTCTCAGAGTGGCAGTTAAGGTTCTAGGATGAAGACCCCCTGGATCCAGATACCAGTCCTTGCACACTCCAGGTATCTGGGCAAGTCACTTTACATCCCTAGACCCGTTTCCTCATCTGTAACATAGTCCTACCCCTTTAATATGGTTGTTGGGAGAATAAAATGAGCACAAGGCTAGGTAGGCACAGCAAAGGCACACCACGATGCTAGTGATCTTGTCTAACTGAATACTACAGAGTGGCGTGGGCTTCAAGCCTGACTTCTCCACCTATTGGCCACCTTCTACCAAACTCAGGATTCTAAAATCTACTCTCCATTACGTCTTAGAGGGAAAAAATATAGAGTTCTTCAGAATTTCACAGCTGGGCCTCAATAATTAATTTGGGGTGGCAAAAACGTCCTAGCTGACATGAGCATGTGAGCCTAGGGGCTCAAGAGAAAAGTGCCTGACTAATTAGTGATGCCCACCACTGGATCCAGGTGGGAATGACAACTCTGTACTGAGCACTCCGTTTCTTTGCCTTTACCAGAGAGGGGATCTGAAGTAGCTGGTGTGTCCAGTTTCATGAAGGCTGCTTCAATAGCTTGGCTGAAGGAATTTTGGAAACTGGGCACAGGAACACGGTCTGAGTTATCACTCTCCCCATCGCTGTCCACAGGAGGAACTAAGCTGTTTTCATCTATAAAATACCAGTGTTAATTTACTTTCTGAAAGGAGCCAAACTCCCCCTCCACCAGAGGGCCATTCTCACCTTTCTTTGGAGCAGTTTTGGGCCACACATCTGCTTTTGCTTTTCCAACTCTCAGCATCTGCCAAGGTGGGAAAGAAGGGAGAGAAGAATTTAAGCAACTGATCCAATTTCTTTCCCAGACTTGTGTCTTGACACTAACTGGCTAAGGGCACAAAGAACTATCACCTCTGGAAAAAAGGATTTTCCAAATACTTCTCTCCTTAACATACTGTTTCAGTCATGTCCTCTATATCCTGACCAAGAGAACTAGCAGTAAACCCCCAAGGTGGGAAACCAAAGCCTGTGTTGTTCCTTAGGAAACAGATAAAGAACAGTGCATGGACTGACTACACAAGAGGTTCTTACTCAGACTCTCAAGCTGGGAATCCTGACTTCATGTCATTCCCTTCTTCTGGTAAGTTTTTCCTGCTCTTCTTGGGACCCCTAAAATATAAACCTCTTGGAATAAGCAAAACGAACCACCTGGTTATTGAACTCCAGTTACTTAAGGCCAAGAAAATCAATTTAACTTTATCCTAAAACTGCTCCAACAGCTGCCATTACCCTTCAGTCTCTGCTTTTCTAATAGCTCCTTAATTATTAACTTTTAGATCCAATCATAGACCAGATTCCTCCACGTACAATAAAATCAGAACCATCCCTCCTGCCCCTGAATGAGGAATTCTTTCATCTCAGGTGGCTAAGGCCAGCTTCTTAATTATTGAGGGCCACACGTGTCATGCAACTCAAAGCAGGCTGAATTTTATCCCTGGGAAACTACCAAGAGACAAGCCCCATGAGATTCAAATAAGAATGTGTCATCCTAGGGGCGCCTGGGTGGCTCAGTCGGTTAAACGTCCGACTTCAGCTCAGGTCACGATCTCGCGGTCCGGGAGTTCGAGCCCCGTGTCGGGCTCTGGGCTGATGGCTCAGAGCCTGGTGCCTGCTTCTGATTCTGTGTCTCCCTCTCTCTCTGCCCCTCCCCCGTTCATGCTCTGTCTCTCTCTGTCTCAAAAAAAAAAAAAAACGTTAAAAAAAAAAGAATGCGTCATCCTAAAGTATGTGTCCCGAAGTGAGGTACAATATTCAAATGGAGTTGGGTTGGCAGAGGTTTATTTCACTGAATAACCTTTCTTCATCATGTACCACTTGGATGATCTTTTCCCTTGGTCCTTGGGAGTTAGGGGTCCAAAGAGTATGGAATCTGAATCATCTTACTCTTAAAAGGCCATTAAAATATCTATCACCTATGTGTTATTCTTGCCATAAATGTTTAACCTGAATCCACTCATGAAAAAATAAACAGACAAATCCAAACTGCAGGACACTATATACAACAACTGGCCTGGATGCTTCAAAAATATCCATGCCACAGAAAGAAAACAAAGAGAGGCTAGAGAAGCTGTTACAGATCACAGAAGACTAAAGAGACTTGACAAACACATGCAATGAGCAGTCTTTTTTTTCGACCGGACTGAAAACAATACAGGACCATTGAGACATGGAGAAATAAGTACTGTATTAGATACTCAATTAGCTGAATTTCTTTTATGTGATCATGACAAATGTGGTCATATAGAAGAATATCATTTGGGGGCACTTATCTCGTAAACAGTTGGTGGTAAACTCATTCAGGAGGTCTAACGTTTTCAATTCAGTATAACAATAAAAAGAGAAAGCACATATAGCAAAATGCTAACAACGGGTGAACCTAGGTGAAAGGTATGAGCGTTCATTATGCTATTCCTTCAACACTTTTAAGTTTGAAGTTGTTCAACATATAAAGCTGAAAAAAGCAATAGCAATAAAACCTAGTTTAAAAAAACAACTTCAGGGGTCCATGGGTAGGCTCAAGTCAGTTAAGCGTCCAACTCCTGATTTCGGCTCAGGTCATAACCTCACAGTTTGTGAGATCAAGCCCCGCATCAGACTCAACACTGACAGCATGGAGCCTGCTTGGGATTTTCTCTCCCCTCTCTCTCTGCCCCTCCCCCTGCTCGATCACTCTCTCTCTATAAATAAACACTAAAAAACAAAAACAAATTTAAGCATTTGACATAATTCCTGGGAACCACTTGCTTATAACTTCTGAAACCTATCAGTTAATACTCAAGATTGCTCTCAATTATTTCTTCCTCCTTGACTTCAGGACTCGACTTACCAAAGTCCAATTCCTGCTTCTATCTCAGCACACACTGAGAAATGTGAGAAACCTCCACTATCACCGTCTCTAAAGAACTGTTAAGCTAATGATCCCAAACTAGCCCCAAAAGGTTAATACTAACTTCTAAAGGGGGTGTTCAGCAAGCTGTCCATCCATCCTCCTCAGTTATTTTAATGCAGGAATACTGAGTGTTTGTTATTTTAAAGGTTAATAAAATGATCTGACATCTCTGCCTCGCTGCATCCAAGAGAACAAGATGGGTCACCAGCTTTATGGGAGCCGGCTGAGGAAATCTGGCCAGGGTTTGCTGTGTCTGCCAAACCGGCATGGTCTGATTCAGAAATACAGCCTATGTGCCGCCAGTGTTTCTGTCGGTTTGCAAAGGATACAGGCTTCAGTAAATTGAATTAAGTGAACTTCTTTGAATGGGTCATCCAAGAAACCTACCTTAATGCCATCTTGTTTTACATAAAATAAAAACACTTAAAGAATAAAACAGAACACAAAAAGATCTGACATCAAGTTTCACTATCCTAGTGTTCCTCTAACTCAGCTGCCCAAGGAAGACAGTTTGGCTAGTTATAGGACAACCAAGACCACCTTTCCCTTCCCAAAGCAAAGAGAAATGGTTTATTATATGTAACAGGTACATACCACCTGAATCAGAAGTCCTAGAACCAGGGACCAGCTGAAATTGGTATCTCCCCAACCCTAAAACAACACTTAGTACCCAAGTATTTAATGATCTGTTAAAAAACTAAAGCTCTGATTCTCCCTCAGCTACCCTTGGCCTCTTTCTTTGGGAAGTCTACAATAACATCTGAAACTAAATCTAGAAGATTTCCTCTTAAAAAAAGCTTTCCATGATTATTACCATCAATACAACATTAGCCTGGAAGTCTCTCCTCCAGCGCAAAGATTTCCAGAAAGTACAAGCAGCAGAGCTCACGTTAAATACCCGTGAACTGCTTCACAAAGATTTACCTGGGCAAAGGAAGGGAAGGGAGAGTCTTCTTCCAGACTCCCAACGCAGAATGAAGGACTGCCCTGACTGGCAGTCGGTGACAGAGGGGTCAGCAGAAAGTCTGAAAAGAAACCAGAGACCTGATTATATAAGTCAAGTTCCAAGAGAGAAGAGATGAACCCTAAATCAGGTCTAGATGATTACCAGCCCCACCACAAAAAGCAAACCTTGATCCAATTTCAATTCTGCCATGTTCTTATAAAGTCAAGAACATGGCCTATTATTCATACTAGTGATCTAGGGAAACAGAAGTTTAGTGGTCACAGTAATACTAGAAAACACGGCAGAATCTATTTCCATGCCAAAAAAACCCCTTTCCACACCAGCTGACTCTCAAGGCCTAGGTACCGGTATGTCATGGGCTGGTTTTATGTGAATGAAAATGTTCTAACAAAAAGATAAAATTTAATCAGGTCAGCCTTTATGTTCCAGCCAGATGTGTATGACCTGCTCTATTCAGTTAGTATCCAAAACACACATCCAAATGGACAATATCCAACAGGAAGATGCAAGCTTTCCTCCGATACTCCCCAGGTAACAGTCTTCTCCATCCTTTCTGACCTAGAGTTGGGCATTTCCCACAGGTCTACCCACTGCCCTGATCACTGCTGGAAAGGAGAGGCCTCTATTCACTCTCCCAGTAGCAGACCCTTCCACAGTCAGCCAGGGCTATTTAGTACTTTCAGTCCTAGGACTATCCAGCTGCTCTTGCTTCAATACATTAAAGCCCATTCCTTCAAAAAAGCTAGTATGTGAAAGCACATACACAACCAATTTTTTATCACAGATAATGTAGTTGATGTTCTGCCATATTCCTCTGTATTTCAGCTCTCTTCTTAGACTAAAAAGCATAGTAGTTGTGCATACAGCCCTCAAGATGCAGGTTACAGTAACAGTCCTTGTCACTAAGCCCCTGCCTCAGCCTCAGGTTCCTAATCTGCAAAGTGACAAGCATATGATCATAGCAGTCACCAAGAGCTGTAAATATTCTGCTCTTGGACATTTTATTTAAAATGGCTGGCAGAGGGGCACCTGCATGGCTCAGTTGGTTATGCATCCAACTTCGGCTCAGTCATGATCTCACAGTTCATGAGTTTGAGCCCCACATCAGGCTCTCAGCTGTCAGCATGGAGCCTGCTTCAGATCCTCTATCTTCCTCAATCTCTCCCCTGCTTACGTGCTCTCTCCCTCTCCAAAATAATAATAATAATAATAATAATAACAATAACAATAATAATAATAAATTGATTAAATAAAACACTTAAAAAATCTTTAGAAATAAAACAGCTGGGTCACAGGGAAGAATCTAAGTTTAACTTTCCTGCCATATGAGCTGCCTTGAGGTTTTGAGGTTTTTAGAAAACAGCAGGGTATAGTCAGTACAGCCAATCAGAAAGGTGAATCAAATGGCAAAAATCTGATGTACCCCAGAAATATATTAACTACCCAAAGTAAGGTTAATCACCTAAAAATCCCACCATACTGAGTAGGTTAGAGTTATAAATTCAGACACTAGGGCCTTGCTTAAGGTCTGTGGCTGGTGGGCAACTTCATTCTTTAAATCCCAACTCATTTACCTGCTTGGGAACCTGGACTTCTGCTAAGAGGAGACAGGGAGAGGGCACCATGGCCCTCGGTGCTGGTGGGACCCAAAGCAGAATCAGAGGTGCAGGTATAGGAATTGAAGGCAGGAAACTGCTGTAGATTCTCTAGGGGAATGTGGACTTCTGGATCTACAAAGAAAAAAGAAGAGTACAGTAGGGCCATTTAGAATATTCCTCAAATCTTTTCCAACAGTTGTGGATAGTCAATATGAATCCCCCAAGGCTCTAAGGTATGTAAACACGCTTTAAAACCCAAATTTATAGTAATTGTCACTTTATATTTTTGTTGATTTTTTTAAATGTTTACTTTGAGAAAGAGAACGTGCACACACACGCGTAAGCACGGGAGGGGCAGAGAGAAAGCCCGATGTGGGGCTTAAACTCACAAACTGTGAGATCATGACCTGAGCTAAAGTCTGACACTTAACCAAATGAGCCACCCAGGAGCCCCTATATTTTTGTTTTAAAATAAAACCCTTTTTGGGGGCACCTGGCTGGCTCAGTTGGTAGAGCATGCAACTCTTAATCTCAGGGTTAAGTTCAAGCCCCACACTGGGTGTAGAGATCACTTAAAAATAAAATCTTAGGCACGCCTGGGTGGCTCAGTCAGTTAAGCATCTGACTTCAGCTCAGGTCATGATCTCACGGTTCGTGGGTTCGAGTCCCACGTCAAGCTCTGCACTGTCAGCCTGCTTCGGAATCTTTGTCTCCCTCTCTTTCTGCCCCTCCCCCACTCATGCACGTGTTCTTTCCATCCCTCTCTCTCTCAAAAAAAAACATTTAAAATAAAATCTTAAAAAATAAGTAAAAATAAAAAAATCTTTGCTCTGTTCTTAACTGAAGCCAAATATTATACATGATGGTTAATTATATTATTCTATGTACTTGTCTTTGGGTGTTTCTATAATAAAGAAGGTAAAATTAAAAAAGCCCCTGTACCTGAAACATCAGTTTTTTCAATTCTTTAGGAAATGTGCCAAATAGCTACACAGCATTGGGACCCCAGCTATACACTTATCCCAGTTGGAGAAGTAAAATTTATGTTTACCACCATAAACATGTAGTCAAAACAGTGAAGTCCTTTCCCTGGCTGAGGACTCGATTCTTTGTTTTCTGGAGGATAAGTAAGTATACTCTCAAGTCACACTAATCTCCTGGATTCAATGAAGCTTATGTTGAAGAAGCAGATCAAAAGACTCTGTACTTACATGAAAGAGCTCTTAAATCTAACCTCCTGCATAGATTTCCTAGTTTGTCAAGGTTTCTACTATATCTTACTCTCTTGGTAGACTTGCGGTATACAGAGGTCTCCTTTAATAGAGTCAACGGTGGGATCAATGTTCCATTCAGAACACACAGGAGACAATCATCCCCTAAATTCAGCAGATCTCCAACTGCCTTCCCCAGAACAGGTTTTCTTGCCTACTATACCAAGGATAAATTTATTCTCATTCCTTATTAAAAGCTATGAACTTTGACCCCCATTAATTCACTTAATTCTCAAGTCTATGAACGAAGTACTCTCATGATTCACATTTGAGAGCTAAAAAAAAAAAAAAAAAAAAAAAAAAAAAAAAAACCAACAACAAAAAACAAGTGGCAGAACTGAGATGTGAACCAAATAGTCTGGCTCCTGGGCCCAAGCACTGAGTATCTCCATGAGGATGCACAGCTGTACTAGTCTAATAGAGTTCCTGAACTTACACTTGCCCTGTTTCTTGTTCTCCTCCATCTCAATCCTGCGCTCCCGGCGGCGTTCCTCCCGAGCCTTCTTCTGGCGCTGACGCTTCCTCTTCTCAATGTCATCTGTGGGATGGTCAGACAGTGAGCAGGCAGACCAAGGACAGCCTGGCCATTAACTCCTCCCAGGTGACCAGTCACTAAGGCCAACAAAAGGAGGCAGCTGGATTGGATGAATGGAGTATGGTATGGAGACTCATGACAGAGCTCCTAAATTCCTCCCATACTGGGTTTCCAATCAGAAGAAACCCTGAGCTTCACTATGAAGAGAAGCAGAGTGGGTGCATCCTTACCTGAGAATATCTCCAGAGTTTCCTTAGAGACCACAGGAGGCTGCAGAGCCAGTTCACAGATGCTGAACTCACAGGTGAGCGGCAGGTGAGAGAGGTATCTATGACGCTGCCGAACATCCTACCATGGAAAAGGGACCAAAACTCAACTAACACCAGGCCGAACTGTGAGGACAGAGGTTCCCATCCCAGACAGCTAACTCTTTGGGGCTCAAAGAGTTGTGCTCAAGGTATCACCATTTTGCAAAGCCAAACAGAAACCGTCAATTGACATTCAATAAGGTAAATGATCAACCAAAAGCAGTTTTTAGGTTTGTGCTGCACATGAATAAATCAAGCCTGGTAATAAATGATTTAAAGCTGATCAGCTGTTTCTGATTTTCTGGAGCCCACAACTGAGGAGAGAGAACAGGGGAAGATAAAGAGTATTTGTTGGCAAAAAAACCTGAGATCCACTGACAATTAATAACTGGGAAGGTGGAAAAAGCAGATTTCCCTACTGAATAAAGCTTGGCCTGAAACAGTAAGAAAAAAAAAAAAAAAACCATCAATTTCAGTTTAATTTTCTTTTTCATTCTCTTTCTGCATGTTTGATGGAAAGTTTACAGCATAACAAATTTGTGATCAATATAGGGATAACTCTCAAAGGGCAAAACCTCACATATATAAATTATCAGATAATAATTGATGGTTATCTGTTAAGCCGAAAATGTGTTTCAATCTTGTATAACCTAGTATAGAGCCTCCAATAACTCTTCGATTCCTTGGACATTTCTCCCAAGCCATAAGGAAAAAGAGAAAAACAAACTCATCTTGAATGAAAGTGGGAGACATCTATGTTCCCAAACCATAATAAATGAACCTAAAAACAGAGAGCAAGGGGTGACTAACAGAACCCCGACATGGTAAGAGAGACCCATTTAACCTCTAAAATCTTTGCAGGCACAAAATCAGTGACAAAAATAGACTTAAATACAAAAGCTAAGCTCTTTGAAGAACTGTGAGCATGGGCTGCTCAGGCCCATATCAAAGAGATCAGGTTGATGACACTCCAGAACCGTGCCACAGGGACAGGCAGGACCTTACCTCAGACATGGAGTAGCCGGCGATCTCCACCACTACTGCCGAGATCTTCTCCGGGCTCTGCTCCAGGCTGCCGTACTCCCTCACAAGGCAGCGCACATTCACAGGGTGCAGGAACATGTGCTGCCCGTCCTCCGCTGAAGACAAGCGGCTCTCTCACACAACAGTCGTGGCCAGTCCTCAAGACAGGGCCCCCCCGTACAGCTAGGCCTGCCTCTCCCTCCCCAAGGCCAAAGGCAAAACAGACCCAAGCACCCACATCTAGCAGCAATACCTCCTCCTGCTAAGAGGCCAGGCCACCTTGCTGAAACATCTCTATGGCAACCCAGCCCTCCTCTCAGGAACCCTCACCTTGGTAAAAGTAGTAACAAGGAGAGCCACTCAGGTGTGTGAAGCCTGGCTTGGTGATGGGTTCCTGCTGGCTGGACTCAGTACAAATGGTCCCCTCTCCAAGACTGTCATCTGCTAACTCTGAGTCATCACAGGCTTCAGGCTCCGGTTCAGACACTGCTTCCTCTTCCTCTACCAGAGGGAGAGCAAGAGGACGAGGAGAACCCAGAGAACAAACTTCGGTGGTCTCTTCATCAAAAGCAGACAGATAGTCTAACACACCCTGTTGGGACAAATTCTAGGTCAACAGAAAGTACATGTGGCAAAGGTAGACACATGAACCAAGTTCTCTGTAAGGTTTTCTTAGCTGTCACATTCATGAATTTAACATCCCTAGGTAAAGAACTAATAAGCAAATGGGAAATACTCCTAATCCCCCCTCCTCTCCCATGAAGAGGCGATTTCACAACATCACCTACCAACTCAACAGCAGCCTTGAGGAACGGCAGCCATTTAGTCTGTAACGGGGTCACACTCACCTTCCTGGGTTGAAAAACGGACTCCTTCGCCAAGGGAGCCATCAGCACCAGTTGTTCCAGAGCAGGCACAACACTAAGGACCTCCCCTCTGCTTTCAGCCAATCCTGACAGAGCCTCTTCCCGAGTCTAAACCACCAGAGAGAAGACCAGAGAAAGCTAAGTTTCTAGAAACACACTTAGTTTGTAGGGCAAGGGCTTACAATGGCCTTTCTCAACAGGAGCAAAAGTTAAAAGGCAACAAGACCCAATAGGAAAAGTACTTAAAATCCTCAATCCTTCAAGGAAACAGGGAGCAAAAAGCACCTGACACCCAAATGGGATGGTATTCTACTTACAATCTGACAGTGACAATACTACACAAAAGTTTCCTGAACAAAAAATCCAAGAACACAGAACTAGTCCTCTAGTTTTTACAAGCTACTCTTAAAGAGCCCCAGTGTGGGAAGCAGGGGTTTGGCCAACTGCCATCTCAACCTGGACAGCTCTACTTCTATACAGCTCGTCTTCTCTGAAATGCACTTGAACGAATGCTCTGCATTTAATTAAAAACAAAATACACAGAACCTACTACTAAAGGAAGACTCAGAAGTCAGAAAGACAGGAATTCAAATACTAGCTTCATCTCATATTAGTTATATGTCCTCAAGCAAATTACCTAACCCATGATTCCATTTCCTCATCCGTGAAAGGGGATAGTTCACACCGGGATATGCAGCTCATGTGACATAAATTTAAGTACAGTACCTTAACACAGGACCTGTCACATGCCAATTACTCAAGATACAAGGGCTTTCACTGTTCTAACACAGATCAGTGATTCTCAAAATATGGTCTGAGGATGAACATTAGAATCAGTCTGGAACTCATTATAACACAAATTATTAAGCGTATGGAGCCCATATTTGACTGAATTCACATCTCAGGGTGGAGGCCAACGCCCTGATTCTGATGTCTGGTAAGGATACACAGGACAGGAAATTCTCTATTTGGGTAATTTTTCCTGCTTCAAAATCCTCAGCAGGTATTACTAGGGCCTGCTGGATAGGCCATAACACTCTCTTCAAAATGTGCCTCAAATAAAACATCTCTAAAAATAAATCCAAGTGTTTCCTTAGGAAAAAAACCTACTTTGCTTAACTAAGAACATAGCTAACCTAAGACTAAGAGACTCCCGTGACTCAACTAGTTATAAGACGATTTTAATTTGTTCCTTTCAGCTGCAGAGTGCTTTAAAAACCACTAGGTCAACCATTCCCTCGCATCACCAATGGCCAGAGCAAACTGGCTATTTTAGCCATTAACTATGCGTTATCTTAAATTCAGGACCAAGATAACTTATCCCCACCATCCTGTCCTGTCATCCTACCTTGAGCTCCTGGATAGCTGCCTCAATAAAGCAGGACTCGGGAGTGTGCTTCTCCTCTGCCAGCTGCTGCTCCAAAGCTATTTTCTCTTCCTGAACTACCCGGTGCAGCACCTGCTCCTTAGAGGCCAGCAGCAACTTGGAGTACTGGCTGTGCTGTTCATCTACAAGAAAGCCAGCAAGATCACAAAAATGCAACAGTCAAAGCTTTGCGACCTTGTGGCTACACAGGAATTTACACAGCTTTTATCCCCCAAAGTGAAGATGGAGTAATCAAGCTAATTTTCTAAAAATAATTTAGCAATGACCTTAAATAAAAGGTTTATAACTCTGACCCCATAACACAAGGAATCCAAGAAAACCAAAGACGCAGTAAAAATGTTTTAGCCAAACTATTGATTACCCTATCGTCTATAATACAAAAAAATGCTACATCAACCAGTTAAGTCCAATAATAAAGAAACAGTTAAATGACATGATGGCATATTCATTAAAGAGAATTTTGCAGACATTAAAAATGGTTTTCTGGGGCACATGGCTGACTCAGTTGGAAGAGCATGCGACTCCTGATCTCGGGGTTGTGAGTTCGAGCCCCATGATGGGTGTAGAGATATTTGAAATAAAACAAAACAAAAAAACAAAACAAAACAGGGGTGCCTGGCTGGCTCAGTCTGTTAGGCATCTGACTTCAGCTCAGGTCATGATCTCGTGGTTCGTGGGTTTAAGCCCACATCAGGCTCTGTTCTGACGGCTCTGAGCCTGAAGCCTGCTTCGGATTCTGTGTCTCCCTCTCTCTGTCCCTCCCCAACTCACACTCTGTCTCTCTCAAAAATGAATGTTAAAAAGAAAAAAAAAAAAGTTTATTTAATGGGGCACCTGGCTGGCTCAGTTGGTTAAGCATCCGACTTTGGCTCACATCACGATCTCACAATTCTTGGGTTCGAGCCCCACGTCGGGCTCTGTGCTGACAGCTCAGAGCCTGGAGCCTACTTCAGATTCTGTGTTTCCTTCTCTCTCTCTCTGCCCCTCCCCAACTTGTGCTCTCTCTCAAAAATAAATAAACTAAAAAAAACTTTTTAATAAAAAAAATTTAAAGATAAAAAAATAAGCTTTAAAAATTTTTAAATAAAAATGGTTTTGTGAGATGACATTTAGCGACATGTAGAAATACCTACATTACATGAATATAAAGCAGACACCAAAAACTAGAAAATTTAATCCCAATCTTGCAAAAATATACATGAGTAGAAAAATAATCTACAACTTTGGGATATCTCTGAGTAAAAGGACGATGGATGATTTGTTTCCTTTACTTCCCTCCCCCATATTTTCTGTACTTTTTAAAAACTTTAGGACAATGTTAACTTTTGGGAAACTCTTGAAATGCCCTGTTTTCCCACCCTCCGATCCTAGTATCTGCCCAGAGATAACCATTTACAAATTGTGATACGTATTTGCCAAATCTTTTTCTATACATTTATAAATCCATAATCACTTAAGAAAACAAAGGTTTTTCCATAAATGATAAACTTTAAGTTGTTCTGTGTTTTTCATCCAACCTGTATTAAATTCTTTCAAAACATTAATACAGAGGGGTGCCTGGGTGGCTCAGTTGGTTGAGTGTCCGATTTCGGCTCAGGTCATGATCTCACGGTTCCTTGGGTTCAAGCCCCGTGTCAGACCCTGTGCTGACATCTCAGAGCCTGGAGCCTGCTTCAGATTCTGTGTTTCCCTCTCTCTCTCTCTGCCCGCCCCCCCCCCATTCGTGCTCTTTCAAAAATAAATAAATGTTAAAAAAAACTTTTTTATATGTTAATACAGAGATCCTATTTTTACCTTCTGTATTGTGTTCCACAGCATAACAAACACTGAGTGAGTTCCTTATGGAACGTTTATTTAGCTTATTGACAGCTTCTATTACATTGTAACAAAAATTCCTTATACGTATTCCTTGGTGCATATAATTTCTTTATATTAAGTACAAAAGCTGGACCAAAGGTTGTGCATATTTTA